TCATAGGCAATAACAAACATGACTTCCAACTCAAAAACCACTCAAGGCAATATTTGTTCAAAACCACTCAAGGCAATATTTGTTCAGAATTACTCAAGACAATAATTGTTCAAAACAAGTCACATAACATCAAGCACATAAGCATCAGTAACATCAAGAAGAAGAAGATAAAAAGTGAATTTCAAGAAAGGTTTTTTCAGGCCAAATCGAGCATCATCATCAAAACCTTAAGCATAAACAGGGAACGAAGTTACCAAGAAGGGGTCATCAGAAGCGAAGCCTCATCAAGTCCATCACGACGCTCCGGCCGCCTGAACGCTACTTCTCTGCCTCTCCTCCGTCTCCCAAGAACAGGTAGCAATATCTTCCCTTTCACCTCATAAAACGAAAATATAAAACTCAGTTTAAAGACAAGTCCGAACCACGCGAATCCAGAAAAAGAAAGACGTAGATATATCATTTTAAGACTAACCTTGCTTCAAGAGACGCGAAATCCTTGCCCTGGAGGGAAGAGAGCGTTGAAGCGCGCTGGTGGCCGGAGGAAGCTCAGGGAAGACTAGAACGAAGAAGACGAAATTCAAGAGAACACGGCGCCGCTGCTGACGAACCCTAATTCCACTCCCAATTGAACAAACAACTGCCTAACCCTAATTCTGTTTCAAAAACCATGGGCTTAATCTGACCCGTTTCCTAAAGCCCAACGAATTACTGTTTTTTTTCTAACACTAACTGTTTTTTCTAACACTAATCCTATTTTATAAAACTCTAACTCTTTTCATCTTTATAATAAAAAACAATATTTATTCTTTTATATACTAACTCATTTATTTCCTTGTTTCTAAAACATATAATTTATTTCTTAATATTATTAAGCATACTAACTTTATCTAAATACTTGTATACATAATTAACTAAAAATATTTTTGAAATATATTTGTACATGTCATATAAGTTAAATTTGAAAATATTTTCTTAATACACATTTGTACATAATAATTTGAATACACTTTTCTAATACAAAATTCAATTCTTTTAATTTAAATTTAAATACTTTGTTGTATATAAACAAATAAAGAGACAGTCTTGATTTAAACTTGAACATTATTTGTGCATATTATACATTTTTCATACATAATTAAAATTAAACTTTTTTAATTAACATTTTTCATACATAATAATTCAATACATTTCTCTTCTAATATTTAAAATTACGAACATTTCAACTAAAATACTCTCCAATTAGAACTTAACACTTAATCAACATCCTTCATTTGTACATAATTCATATAAATCAAAAATACAGATTAAAACATTATCTAGGTCAAAACCCTAATACGACTCAATTTCACAATTCGCATTGGCACATATTTACACTTACACACACATTTACACTTACACATACATTTGCACTTACACAATATATTGCCATACACACATTTTATCTTACATTTATACATTTGACATTTATATTTTGATTGCGACATTCGATTTGGTTGTAAAATACTATAAGTCTCATCCCCTTGTACATTTATACCCCCACTCCCGGATATTATGTTGTAAATAGCGTAGATTTACGTTCCGCAATTTACAGTTTTTTCAATTATACCGTGGTTAGACCTAGGGTTTGTATGTACATAAAATCAAACGCTAGATAACCTAATACAAGACAAATGCATGTAATCAATACACAATCACACTTGCACCCCCTAGGGTAATCCCACATGTTGCCTTCCAAATGGGCCATGCTTGCACGTCGAATGTCTTTGGCAAAACGAATCAAACGATCATAAGTCCCTCGATGACGCTTTCGAAAGTCGCCTATCAAAAATGATCAAGTCCCTTCAAAACAAATTGCCAAAGACACTTGGCATCATTGCATTCATGGTCCATGCGATGACCCGCGCCCGTCCCGAATAAACTTCCTAAACGCAAGATTGCCTACCGATTTCAATGGTAGAACAAAATTGTTAAAAGGGGTTAAAACATGACAAAAACCTTTGAGTACAATAGGGTAGACAAAACTCTTAGTTACTTGAGATCAAACTTGCAAACACACTTGCCTTCTTTTCAAAAACCACAATCCACGACACTTTCAAAAATCAAACTTTTCAAACTTTTGAAACATCTTTTCGAAAAGATATGCACCTTTGTAAAACATTCGAGTAAAGAATTATTACAAGGTTGGCCTAAGACAAGGCATCTTTTTCCAAAACATTTTCAAAACAACCCACACACGCACTATTTTCAAAACAATCGAAAAACAAGGCAAGTGATCTAAAAAGCCAAGTAACTAAGAGCCCATGGATAACCATGGATGAAAAGGGTGCTAATACCTTCCCTTTTCATAATCTACCCCCCGAACCCACGAAATATCTCAAAAGGTTTTTGCTGTGCTTTTTAACCTTTCCTTTAGGATAAAATAAAAAGTCGGTGGCGACTCTTGCTAACCGCACAAGTGCGAATACGAATGCAAAACACTAGTCAGTTCTCCCACCGTATCACAGTATCTATTTCCACCATGTGAATTAACTTCAAAGGGTCCACAAATGTCAGAGTGAACAACCCCAAGAAGATCATTAGCTCTCATGGCTAACTCAGCAGTGAAAGATTTCCTTGTCTGCTTCCCTGTAAAGCAGGTTTCACAAATCTTCTCTGGGATAGTTGTTGTTGGTAATCCCAAGACCATACCATCACTTCCCAGCTGGTGTAAACTTCTGAAATTCAAGTGACAAAATCTAGCATGCCACAACCAATTTGACTCCCTGCCCTGTAATGATCCTGAGGCTTTCAAGCAATGAACTTCAGATGCTTTAATGTTAACCTTGAAGGTTCTATTTTCTGAAAGTGGAGCCTTCAAGATCAATCTTCCTTTAGCATCAAACAGATCAAAAGAATTCTTTTCCATAATGACCTTGAACCCTTTCTGAATCAGCTGGCCAATACTCAACAGATTGCAAGTCATTCCAGGCACATACAACACATCTTCTATTATTGCAGTTCTACCATCCTTTCTATGTCAAGTGTTTTGTCATCAGCAAACTTAACCGTGCTTCTTCTAGTTTCATCTAAGTCAATTAGCCATTCTCTATGACTAGTCATGTGATTAGAACAACCCGTATCTAAATACCACAAGTTTGATTTAGAATTTACAGAAACAGAAGAGCTGGTGGTTACCATGAGAAGCAGGGGTTCTTGATCTGAATCCTCATGAGCTGCATTGGCCTCATTGTCACCCCTTCTCTGTTCACTTCTACCATTTGGACATTCTCGTGCAAAATGACCAATCTTCCTGCAATTGTAGCATTCAGCTTTCTTCTTGTCCACCCTTTGATTCTTGCCAGAATTCCTCTCATGACCACCACGTTGCTGTGAAGAACCACTTTTGTGATCATCATCTCTCGAAGAGGACCAAGATTCCCCTTTGGCCTTGCCTTTGCTTTTCCATTTGCCTTTGCGTTTCTCATCATACACCTTCTTCGATGTCAGAGCCTTCAACGCTTGATCTTGGTGATTCCTCTCAGTCACTCAATCTTGAAGACGTAATTCATGAGCCTCAAACGAACTTTGCAGTTCCTCAAGCTTCATCTCTTCCAAATCTTTGGATTCCTCGATCGCCACTACTATGTAATCAAATTTCACCGGTAAAGATCGCAAGATTTTCTCAATCACCATCAAATCTGTGATTGTTTCACCACACCCTTTCATCTGATTGATCAGTGTCAGAATCTTGGTGAAATACGCTCCAATCGTGTCGTTTTCCTCCATGTGCAAGCTCTCATATTGCTTGCGTAAAGATTGCAAGCGAACCTTCTTCACCTTCTCCCCTCCGGCGTGACATCGTTGAATGATATCCCAAGCTTCCTTTGCACTGGTTGCCTTGGAGATCTTCTCAAAATGCGCATCGTCCACGCATTGATGAAGAAGAAACATCGCCTTGCAGTCCTTCTTCTTCGCCTCCTTGTTCGCTGCTTTCTGTGCCTCACTAGCTCCGGTTGCCAACGCTGGAACCCCAGATTCCACCACTTCTTGGATGTCCTGAAACCCAAACAGCACCTTCATTTGGATGCTCCATCGTTCCCAATTCTTCTCAGTAAGAACGGGCAGTGTGGTGGGAAGGTTTCCATGGGCACTATTCATGGCTACGAATTTCAATTGCACAGACTCACAGCTTCGTCTCCTTCAATTTTTTTTCAGGCCCCTTTCGAAACTCTTGCTCTGGATACCAGTTTGTTGGAACAGAAAGAGAAGAATAGAGAGAGAACTCAGAGATTGGAAGAATGAGAGATTCTTTATTTTTTATACTGCATAGCTATTACAATTGGACTTGCTACTTAAAGCAATGTAACAAACTAACTGAAAAACTAACTAATTGGTTATCTAACAAACTTAACCAATCAGTCCTATATTTGAATTATTCTTTCAACATGATCCACCTAAGTTATTCAATACAATCGGATCTTTTGTACTCATTTCAAGCAGATTAAAATTTTTGAAGTTTAAATATTACCCTAACACCTTGCATGACTTTTTTATTTTTATTCATATTCAATAAACTTGAATTTTTTTATATGAATTTTTATTTTTATTTGTAATTTTATGCTCGGATTTTGAATACCTTGATTCTATGGAATATTTTATATGTACATAAAAAAATAAAAAAATATAAATAGTATAGACTTGAGATTAGTTGTCTTAGAGTTCGAAATAATTGACTTAGGAAATTTCTTATGTGTTGCAATGAAGATAATAGGTAATTAAAAATGTTTAAATATTCAACAAAATAATGGCTTCTGGACCCCCTCAAAAACAACTATTCATAAAAGTATAGTATAGTCATTAACATAAAGTTATTGAATTCTCTATCATGAGAGTAAATTCTCATCACACAAAACAAATGTCTATATATAGTTGTATTGTAGCATTAATTTATTCATATAGTATTTCAGAAGAATTCAAAACAACTCCTTCCAAAAATAGAAGTTCTTCTAATTGATCAAAACATGTCTCATCAACAAGAAGATGGTGCTGAACATTTGGGGGAAGAAAACATGATGAAATATGTAGAAGATGATATGGAAATTCAATCTGTTAATAGAGAAAAAAGTTATTATGTTGATTATGATGAAGACGATTTCTCGGTTAGTAACATATTTCATAGTATGTTGTTACAAATTTTTATGTTTATGAATATGATGCTGATGAAATAATTGAGTATAGCAACATGTGTTGATGTTGTTATTGTATCGTATATCTGATACGTCTTTAATTTGAAAAGTCGAATCAGACAAGTTATATTTACTTATCTATGAGTAATATTGCAGTATAGAAAATTGTTAGACACTACAGCTGCTCAAGCTAGAAAAGGAAAAGACATCCAAGGGATTTCTTGGGACAGAATTAATGTCACTAGAGAAAGTTATCGGCAAACTAGGCTTGAACAATACACGAACAATGAAAATATTCCACATTCAGAGGACATATTAGGGAAGGTAACAGAAAAAGGATACTCATTTTATGAGTTTAGAAGAAACTCAAGATCAGTAAAACCAACAATTCTTCATTTTCAGGTATTGTGTGTTCTTTTTCCGTTTTATGTCAAAACAGTTTCATTTGTTCATGAGATGCAAATCTTGAGCAATATCATGACATGAAATAGGCTTTAAAGAGATTTGATCTTGCTTAATTTGACTAACATCGTCGCTATTGTTCTATGCTTTTGCAGTTGAGGAATATGGTTTGGGCTACATCGAAGCATGACGCATACTTTATGTCGAATTTCTCAGTTATGCATTGGTCTTCTTTAACTTGCACAAGTTCTAAAATACTCAATGTTTCGGGACATGTTGCACCATCTGAGGTGAATGTCATTTTTAATACTAATATTTTTGAATTCAATAGCATGGACTTCTGACAATTCTTAATTATTTTGATATCAATTGCATGGACTTCTGACCGTTCCTGATTAATTTTGAATTCAATAGCATGGACTTCTGACATTTCCTGATTATTGAGACTAATAACTTGCGACACAAGCATTATTGTTACTAATTGTTTTTCTTGATAACTTGCGTTACAAGTTATTGTTTCGAGCCTAATTCTGATGTTATCAATTTTCATTGAAGAATCATTTTGGGAGTGTATCCGAGGGACTCACACAAACTCGAGTTAGTACACTTGCAGTTAAAGATAATCTTCTAATTGCTGGAGGGTTTCAGGGTGAACTCATTTGTAAGGTAAACGGTTAATTTGCTCGTGTTTTCAGAATTATATAGTTTTGTAATTCATAGTGATGGAATCATCGATTATTCTATTTTTTATCACTTCCGTTGTTACATATATTGCAGCACCTAGATGAACCTGGTGTTAGATTTTGCACAAGGACTAGTTATGATGAAAATGCTATCACCAATTCCATTGAGATTTACGCTTCTCCTAAGTATTTTGTTTTCCTTCTCGTTATTTGTTTAGTTATTTTTATAACGGATATAGGTAACATCCTCTAATGTACTTGATTTATGATTTTTAGTGGCGCAGTTCATTTCACAGTATCAAATAATGATTGCGGAATCAGAGACTTTGATGTCGAGAAATTTCAACTCTCTAAACATTTTTGTTTTCCCTGGGCTGTGAATGTGAGTGCCTTAGGTCTTGTTCTCTTCTTAAATTTCCTACGCCGACTTAAGATTGATAAGCGGCGGCCTTACTTATGTTTTATCTTCGCCTTTTTGTGCTATGTTGCAGCATACTTCTCTCAGTCCAGATGGTAAGCTACTTCTAGTTGTTGGAGACAATCCCGAAAGTATGTTGGTGGATTCGCAAAATGGAACGGTAGAACTCAGATTCCTTTTCGGCCAAACAACAAAACAATGCTTCTATTACTTGTATCCTAAGATATCGTATGATGAAAAATTTCTTAATCCGAACAGTTTGTTTTTTGCAGACTGTTGCTGCGTTATCCGGACACTTAGATTTTTCATTTGCATCGGCATGGAATCCTGACGGTGTGACCTTTGCTACCGGGAACCAAGACAAAACATGTAGAATTTGGGACATGCGGAATCTGTCAAAATCAGTAGAAGTGCTGAAGGGAAACCTTGGAGCCATTCGTTCAATCAGGTATACTTTTGATGGTCGGTATATGGCTATAGCGGAGCCTGCAGATTTTGTGCATTTATATGAAGTGAAAAGCGGGTATGAGAATGAACAAGAAATTGATTTCTTTGGTGAGATATCAGGTATATCGTTTAGTCCAGACGATGAATCGCTTTTTATTGGAGTTTGTGATCGGACTTATGGTAGCCTTCTTGAATATGGTTGGCATCAGAATGTAAAATGTGAAGAAGATTGATTTAGTGTATGTTTGGATTGTCGTGTTATTTTGCAACTTAGTGTTGCATGTTTAGATTGTTCTATTGTTGTGTTGTGACATGTGAGGCGCTATGTTTCTTAACATGGTATCAGTGTTGATTTGTAGCAAAGTGAGCAGTTAGGATTATTATGAAGTTTGTTTCGGCATCACCATATTGTTTGGAGATACGAACCACAGTACATATATTTTAAATTGGAAATTGGCAAGGGCTATCGGGCAAAAATCCTTCGCACTTTCGGAAGATAGCGTTTAAATTCTCATTGAGATTAACAGTAAGAAAGAAAAGTTGAACCAAATTAATGACATCCAAAGCAATCACATCTCAAAAAAATTGATAAAGAAATCCGTTAACCCATCGGGGCTCGGGGCTGCCATCTCCGCTCATCTTAAAAATAACCTGTTTGATAAGCTCTGGGATTGAAAGTTCTGTTAGCGACATATTATCCTGCTGCATGATAATGTTAGGAATTATCTGTGCAATTATTGATGGAGCAGAAAATAGATTGGAAATAATGAACAAAATGATGCTTTATTTTCCTAATCCAATGAGAGCAATTCAGTTATTAACCATATCAGTAAGGTTTTTAACCTTTTTAGCTTCAATTGTAGTCTGAACATGGGGTTGTGACGAGTGTTTTTGCTCAAATCTCCTTAACTACACCAGCACAATCTGCATGGGAAGTCCAAACCTTGAAAAGCCTAAATGAACCAAATCCAAAATCAGTATTGTCCTACCTCGACCATTATATTTTCAAGATTTAAAATAGAAGAAATGTTTAGTTAAGGATGGTTCGACCATATCTGGTGGCTCATTCTTAAAACCGAGACAATCAGAGAGTGCATTTTAATTCAGGAGTGGGGCTTTCTAAATCAGAAAGACTCATGTACCTATGGGTCTATTCGCGAAGCATGTTAGCCAATAGCCCATGAGATTCGAATTAGAAAATTATTTCAATAATAATAATTAAGTTCTTAACTAACGCCCGTTTAGGTCTTGTTTTTTTTAGTAAAGAAGGGAGTGCGGAATATCAATTAAAAGGCCATTAGAATTCAGTTCGGGCCATTTCCATTTTTGGTCATTAAATAGCAAGAAGGGAGGTGCGATTCCAAACTATAAGTCCTTTAAGATTTTTAGCCCATTTGGATGTTTTATTACTGTTTTAGAAAGAAAAAAATTATTAAAACTTTTTCTTCTTATTATTATTCTACTAAAAATCCTCTTTACAACTTAAGAAATTCATTTTATCATTAAAAGTTTTGCAAGCGTGAATGGAGTGTTTTGGAAAAAATAACTATTTCTATTATTATTGGACATAAACTTTTTTAGGTCCAATCCATATTACAGAAAAAAAAAATATGTTGTTGTAACCACTAGGCAATAGAAGCCCGATTAGTAAATGACGAAAAGCCCAAATTATAAAATAAAACAATTACTGTTTCGATCGGCAGGAATATTGTGCATGTTTCTTGACCACTAACGAATTCTGTAGAGATTATAACCAAAACCAACTCTTTGAAGGTGGAGAAAACACTTAGAGTGGGGTGGGGGGGGGGGGGGGGGGGTGAATAAGTTTCTCTTTTTCTTTTTCTTAAATGCTCAACAATAATGGAAAGACAAGGTTATTTTTATCCTCGTTCGTTTGAACTCAAACTACTCCAGTCCACCCGCCAAGGTGATTTCGCTTTTCTCAACAAGGACTTAATCCACTATAATCAATTTATTACAATCACACAATAATTGTTGTGACTAACAATGCACAAGTGACTCACACCACTAAGACTTAAACTAGTCCTAGTCTACTTGAGAAATCTGACCAACCCTGGTCTCTCAAGGAACAATTACAAGATATAAATCTTTACAGATAGTGACACAAAGTTAGCTTCTAAGAAAGCTATATCACAACTGTGATTTTTCACTAAGAATATTATAGCACAAAGTGTATGAAATTTGTTTGTGAGCCCATAATCTTTTACGTAACTTTTGCTTCTTTTGAATTTGATAAGTTCTATTCAGAACTTCAATTGTTCAATCTTTCAGTATTTTGGTTGAGCAGTTGAGCGTTTTTGCGTTAGTTGGCTTGCAATTAATGTTCTTTTATATATAGCATGAAGAAACATGACCGTTGCTGCCTTCAAATGGAGAGCATTAAATGTTTGCGTGTTTCCTTGCACTATTCCATTTTCCAATGCACTAGCGTAGACACTTGAGTGCATGTAGCCGTCTTTGTATTAAATGAGCAAACGACACTATGTAAGAACATGTCTCCTGAAGCTTGACAAGACTTGTTAGCTTTTGCATTCTTTCAGAACTTGACTTCACGTCTTAATTTCAGAACATGCTTGCATATCTTCTAAACAATGCTTTGCTTGCTAAGTACTTCTGATCAGCACTTGCTTTCAAATATCTTCTGAACATCACTTGCTTTCAAATATCTTCTGAACAACAATTGCTTTCAAATATCTTCTGATTAGCACTTGCTTTCAAAGAACTTCTGAAACATAGCTTACACAGAAACTTGCTAAGCGTTAGAAGATGTAATAAAATAATTATCTTATCAGAGTCAGCATCAGCACTTGAGTTAAAGCAAAAGGTTCTTTCATCAAAAGAGCTTCTTCATATATTTTCAGTTCAGCATATCAAGATGCTTCTGTCAGAACATTATCAGAGACATCATCAACATCAGTACTTGCGCTAAAACAAATAGTTCTATCATCAAGGAACTTCTTCATTTATTTTCAGCTCAGCACTTCAAGATGCTTCTGTCAGAACATTATCTGAAACAGTTAAATACGTTCATCAGAATATCAATTATATAAAATATAATTTATTGTTATCATCAAAACTCTGAGATATGATCAGAACTAATCTTGTTCTAACAATCTTCCCCTTTTTGATGATGACAAAAATATATTCAAATATACAAATAAATTTGAATAAGAGATAGGAATCTCCCCCTGAAATAAATATTTCTATAAGAAAAACTTCCTGAGACTTTTCATCAGATCTTTGGAATTTTTCTTCTGATATTTCTTCATCAGGTTCTTTCGAAGATAATGTTCATTTGAAATAAACTTCCAGAGTTTAAATGATACCTGCAAATATCTTTAAAGCATAGAAAGAAATCTTGTATTTTGTTAGAATGTTTGACTTAGTACCATAATTGTTAATCAAAGATTAAATCAAAATACTCATTTTCTCCCCCTTTTTGGCATAATCAAAAAGTAGATATAAAAATAGTTTAAGAGCGAAAGAATTTATAATAAAAGATTCAGAGGTTCAACAAAACAACAAGTGAGAAAGGTTTTTACAAAAGTATTTATATGAAGACTTTTCAGAAATAGGTTTTAAAAAAAAAAGACTTAGCATTTAATGAAAATTGAAAAGTGAGGGGAAAGCGTGAGATTTTAATCAAATCATAACAGTTACCTAAAACGGTGTCAATAGCTTAGCACGCGTGACCTTTCAGAAACACACCAAGTGCTCATCTCCTGAAGGTTGTATGGGACAGCAGTTTGATCTAATGAACTTCTGAGCTATACTTGAAATGAAACGTTAGAACATTTCAGAACATTACATATAGCTTCTGATGTAACTTCTCTTCTAACTTCTGAAGAGTTGTTAATCAGAGCATTCATTTTCAGAATATTCTGAAGTCAAGCACAGAAGATAAATACAGTTTTATTCAGGACATAATTCCATACAAATATTTTTCAAGATGAATTTAAATCTATCTTCTGAAAGGGGTTTGGTAAAAATATCAGCCCATTGATGGTCTGTTTTTACAAAGTTTAAATTTAAAATTCCCTTCTGAATATAGTCCTTTATAAAATGATATTTAATTTCAATGTGTTTAGCTTTAGAATGTAAATTTGATTTTTAGAAAGACAGATAGCAGAAGTATTGTCACAGAAGATAGGAATCTTACTTTCATAAAGATTAAAATCTTCTAGCTGACTTTTCATCCAAATCATCTGAGAACTACATCCAGCAGCAGATATATACTCAGCTTCTGTTATTGAGAGTGCAATTGTTGCTTGCTTCTTGTTGTACCACGAGATAAGATTGTCACCCAGAAACTGGCAGCTTCCAGAGGTGCTCTTTCTTTCAATTCTATCTCCAGCAAAGTCAGCATCACAATAACCTACTAGTCTGAAATCTTTTGATCTTCTGTAACACAGACCCAGATTAGTAGTACCTTTCAGATACCTCAGAATTCTCTTAACAGTAGTTAAGTGAGATTCTATAGGATCTGATTAGAATCTAGCACATAAACATACGTTGAATAATATGTCAGGTCTAGATGCAGTCAGATAGAGAAGGGATCCAATCATACCTCTGTAGAGCTTCTGATTTACCTTCATACTTACCTCATCTTTTCTAAGAATGCATGTCGGATGCATTGGTGTCTTAGCATCTTTGCTTTCTGACATCTGAAATTTCTACAAATTTTCTTTAACATACTTCGTCTGATGTATGTAAGTACCTTCTGGAGTCTGGTTGATTTGAATTCCCAGAAAGAACTTCAATTCTCCCATCATGCTCATCTAAAATTTTGCCTGCATGGTCTCAGCAAATTCTTTTCCAAGGGAGATATTAGAGGTTCCAAAAATAATATCATCAACATAAATTTGACAAATTAAGATATCATTTTTAAATGACTTTCTGAATAAAGTTATGTCCACTTTCCCTCTGGTAAAATATTTTTCTAAAAGAAAATTACTCAGACGATCATACCAAGCTCTGGGAGCTTGTTTTAAACCGTACAAAGAATTTTTTAATTTAAAAACATGTTTTGGATGTTTTGAGTCATTAAAGCCAGGAGGTTGATGGACATAAACTTCTTCTTCTATATAGCCATTTAAAAATACACTTTTAACATCCATTTGATATAATGAAATGTTATTATGAACATCAAAAGAAATTAATAATCTAATAGACTCTAACCTGGCGATTGGGGCAAAGGTTTCATTATAATCAA